CCTGGAGGGTACAGGTTGGGCTGGCCAGCTCCATACTGCACTGCTGGGAACTGTGTGCTGCCGGGAGGTGCCTGGTCAGGCCAGGCAGCTCTGTGCTGTGCTGTGCTGCATGGCTCTTGGCTACAATGCCAGGACCCACACAGCATGGCACAGCCAGCCCAGCCCAGCAGCGCACAGTTCTGGACTGTAGCACTAGGACCCGTGCAGTGCACAGAGCTGGCCTGTCCTGGCCCAGCCATGCTCAGTTCTTTAGGTTCCCCTGCCATCAAGCTGGGACGGGATGCGCTGGGCTGGCTCTGTGCAGGTCTCGGTGTTGCAGCTGGGTACCATGTACTGCATGGCTGGGCCAGGCCAGACCAGCTCCGTGCTGTGCTGCAGAGGTCTTGGCATTGCAGTTGGGACCTGTGGTGCAGAGCCTGCCAGCCTGACCCAGCCCTTCTAGGCACCACATAGTTCCTGGCTGCAGTGCTGGGATCCATGTAGTGTGGCACAGAGGCTGCTGGGCTGGCCCTGCAGCATGTGGTTCACAGCTGCAATGCTGGGACCCTCACAGAGCCAGCCTGGCCCGATAGTGCATTAGTACCAGGAGCCATGGGGAGTCCTGCGCCATCAGGAAACACAGGCTCCGTGTCCCCATGCATGGTTCCTGGCATTCTAGCTGAGAGCCACACATGGAAGCACAGAGCCAGAGTCCTGTGAGCCCCACATTGCAGCCGGGAATCGTGGTGCTGTCATGTCCATCCGCCTCTGTCCCCTTCCCCTCCCCCCCGCACACACACAGAGCAACCTGAAAAACCCATACTCCCATATGGCCCCCACACGCCTCCACATGCCCCCATTCCCCCTCCCCAAAATGTACGAAAGTAAGGCTTAATTTTGGCAATCAGCACTCATAGTAGAGATATCTCTCTATCTCGTAGTAGAGATATCTTTTATTAGACCAACAAGATTTTTGCAAAAACAAATTCTTTAATTGCAAGCTTTTAGGCACAAACAGCCTTCATCAGGCATCAGAGAAAAGATTGTAAAAGTTCTCCTGAGTAGAAATGAAAGTTCATATTTCATAGGATTTCACAGAGATGTCAATAGATGGAAAACTCCACTGGGCATTCGGTTCCTAGCTGGTAAGAAGCCTCTCACCTCCTGTGAGGATCTGTGATGATGCAGATTACCTTGAAACAAAGACAGGAGCAGGGTCTCAGGTTTCAGGTGGTCACAGTTGCTTCCTGCTTAGGAAAATATGAAGATTTCATTTTTTTAAAAAATCAGCTAAATTTCGATATCTTCCATGTGTCAGGTATACAGGTTGTAGCCGTATTGGTCTAGAGGAAAAGGCAGTCAGAACTCATAGTACAGATGATCTCTTTCATTAGACAAACCAGTATTTTGAAAAAAAAAATTCTTTAATTGCAGGCTTTCAGGCACAAACACCCTTCATCAGGCATTGGAGAAAATATTGTACAAGTCTCCTGGGTAGAATTCATTTTGAGCTTTTAACGCAATCACCTCTCTCTCTCTCTTTTAACGCAATCACCTCTCTCTCTCTCTCTCTCTCTCTCTCTCTCTAGATATAGATATACGCACACACACACTCTCCAAACTTTCAGAAATCAGGACAAAATATTTTTTGAAAAAAAAATGAAAATAGGTTGTGTAGGTGTGTGATTTTTTTGGGGGTTTTTTTTCCAGTTCCAAGATGGTAAACCCCCTTCCCAAAAGGATTACTTCCGGGGCAAGGGGAGGGACTTCTGGTGGCAAAAGGTCAGGGGTTAGGGGCAGGACTTCCAGTCCCAAGATGGCAACCAGAGGGCGGTGCACCTGTCAAGTTGTGGGGCTACCCTTGTGACCGTAAGTAGGTCACCAAAATTCATTAAGCAGCCCTGTAGCCGAAATAATTCCCCACCCATGCTTTAGGCAAACCTACTCCTGCCATATAGTGGGTAGGTGCTGTAATATCTACTTATTATATGCAGTCACTCCAGAGTAACCTTAATATTTTTCCTCTCTATTTTGTGGTATGTAAAACTGAAGCAAGTTACCTTGGTATAAGTGTTGTTTTGTTCAGGCCTTTAGCATTTAAGCATCAGAAAGTAAAACTATCTAACAAAGGAAACAGAGCAGTCCAGTTTCACTGCCCAGGCTAAGTGTATCCTTTAGTTTTGCAGCTCAGATGCAGATATGAACAGTATACATCTGTTCCTTTATTTCAAATAATTTGACTTGAATGTATAGTAACACGAGTTTGGTATTACTATATTTTGTATTTTTAATTGACAGTAAGACAGCCTTTGAAAATTACATCTGCAGCATGTTCAACTTGGGCAGTGAAACTGGACTGGTCAGTTTAAAGACATGTAAGGGTGATGCAGTCTTTCCCAGACTGTCTATTAGTGTTCTTTGAATTGTTTTTCCCCCAGGCTGTAAAGATGGATTGAGGCACCAAATTGGTTTATAGTGGTATGTGTCATAAAAGAAGAGCAGGAAAATGAAGCTGTCTGACACTCAAAGTGCTCCTGTCTTAGTGCATATGTACTTCAGTGGCTGCACTTAAATGGTGGAAAGCTCCTCCATTCTGTTTTCCTACAAAGTCAAAGGCTATATGCAATAAAGAATTTAAGTACCTAAAAGTCAGGCTCTACAGTGCTTAGCTCGTAGGTGCTGGGTCCCTGGAATGCAATCTGAAACCTTGCATTAGGTGCTTAGGTTGATGTCTAGGGAGAGTAAGGTGTCTTGGAACGGGATCTAGTTAGCTAGCTAAAAAGGAAAAGTTAAGGATAGGAATGAGTCTTTAAGTCCTGTCCCTCTCTTGAGTATAAACACCTCATTCCACCTGGGACCCAAAGTATGGAACTGTGTCCTGAAGTTAAATACTTAAGCCAGTGGTTCTCGACCTTTTTACGCTTGAGGCACCCCTTGAAAAATGCCAGACCTTATCGTTCACTCAATTCTTTTTTTATTATGGAAAAATAGTAGAACAATTCTTTTGTTGCCAAGAACTTGGGAAGACCACAAGTCAGAATGTTTTTAACCCTGTGGATTCCTATTTGAAATCTCTGGGTTTGTCTTGTAAGTCGTGTTTACACACCTAACAGGGCTAACATTGCGTGGAACCCTGATTGAGAATCACTGGCCTAGGCCCTTTCTTTGAAAGAATAGAGCTGGTATCACTCATTAAAACATGGAGCCAGTTTCTCCTTTCATGTAACAGACTAATGGTTAGAGTACCTTGTCACAATTATCTATTCCATTGTAACCTTAAAATTAGATTGTTGTAAGGCACTCTGCCTGTGGCTTTACTTCAGGAACATTCAGAAGCTGAAGATAGTGAAGAATGCTTTGGCCTTGCTCAATGGAGTTGCATTATGGGAGCACATTGGATCAGTACTCTGTATCTTGTATTTGTGACTGTGTTTGTCTTCTCTTCTCCAAACTAAATAAACCCAGTTCCTTCAGCTTCTCCTCATAAGTCATGTGCCCTAGCTCCTGAACCATTTTCATTGCCTTCCACTGTACTGTTTACAACTTGTCCACATTCTTTCTATAGTGGGGAGGGCCAAAACAGGGCACAGGACTGCAGATGTGGCCTCACCAGTGCAGAACAGAGTGGAATAATCACTTCTCTTGATCTGCTGACAACGCTACTACTAATGCAGCCCAGTATGCTGTTAGCCTTCTTGGCAGCAAGGGCACACTGCTGACTCATATCCAACTTATTGTCTACTGTAACCCCCAGGTCCTTTTCAGTCCCCAGGCATGGGATTGTTCCATCCTAAGTGCAGGACTTAGCATTTGTCTTTGTTGAGCCCTGTGAGATTTGTTTTGGCACAATCCTCCAATTTGTCTAGGTCACTTTGAATCCTAACCCTGTCCTCCAGTGTATCTACTACGCCCTTCAGCTTGGTGTTATCTGCCGGCTTGCTGAAGGTGCATTCCATCCCATAGTTCAGATTGTTAATGAAAAATATTGAACAAAACCAGCCCCAGGACTAACCCTAGGGGCACTCCACTTGATACCGGCTGCCTACTAAACATGAGCCACTGTACTACCCATTGAACCTGACAATCCAGCCAGCTTTCTATACACTCTGCAGTCCATTCATCCAACCCATACTTCCTCAGCTTGCCTTCAAGGATGCTGTGGGAGATGGTATCAAAAGCTGTACTGAAGTCAAGGTATATAGGACATCCACTGCTTTCCCTGCATTCACAGAGCCAGTTATCTCATCATAGCAGGTAGTCAGGTTGGTCAGGCATGACTTGCCCTTGGTGAATCCATGCTGACTGTTCCTAATCACCTTCTCCTCCAAGCGCTTAGAAATGGATTCCTTGAGGACCTGCTCTATGATTTTTCCAGGGACTGAGATTAGGCTGACTGGTCTATAGCTCTCTGGATCCTCCTTTTTCCCTTTCTTAAAGATGGGCACTATATTTGCCCTTTTTCAATTGTCTGGGACCTCCCCCAATCACTACAAGTGAGAATGGTTACTTACATTAGCAAAATTGTTTTTTTCAAGATGCTTTGTACCTAATCTGCCCTCCGTCTTTACTCCTTTGGAATGCATCTCCTCTGGGGTTTTGAATTAACAGGAATATGGAAAACCTGTGGAAGCCACTCTGTTTCATATACCCTCAGAGGGCGGGGTGGCATATGAGGACATTCAGGCCTTGGCCCCTATGGTCATTGCTGGTCAGAAGATTGTGTTCTCATAAGAATGAGGTGCATGTGCACCAAAAGAGGGGTCCCCATGGAGGGGGAAAACTTCTTGAAGGACAGTGTTACTGGAGGGTAAGTAACCATTCTTTTATATCAAGATTTACTTAAAAAAATTATTAGAATTGGATACATTAGCTTGAAAAATAATTGAGGTCACCACCATGAATTTCCATTGCAAAAGCCAATGAGTTCTTTATTTCCTTCCCTTTTTTTAGTGATAATATTTGAGAGGAAATATTTTACTTTGTTGAGACAAGCTTCATATTTCTATTTGTTTTATTTCTAGCATATTATCAAGTTTCACCGTGCCTCAAAAGCAAATAAAAAACCCATGCAGTTGCCAAGATCTATGGTTAAATCACTACTCTACCAGATCCTTGATGGAATACATTACCTCCATGCAAACTGGGTGCTTCACAGAGACCTGGTAAGTCCTGTATATTTTACCTGATTAAGAAAAGTTCATATAGGTTTTTTTGGGAGGAGAAGTAGCAATCTTACATGTTGATCCCTACAGTTCTTCCTGTTATTGTTGCTGGATGCCATTGGAGGCTTTAAAAATGAAAACAAACTACGGTTTCACATTGTCTTTATCTGTAACATCTGAGCTAAGACAATGACACTGCATCCGGTAAACAGATTGCAGATACCAGTATCCAAAAACAATGCATCAGTCCACTGATATGTATATGTTAGTCATTAGTATAAGTATGTGCTTTGCTTTGAAAGGTCCATTCATCATGAAAAATGGATAGTCTTTCACATTGTTTGGCTTTATGTACAAGTTTATCATAAAAGTGAGTGAAATAATAGTTTGTACTATGGGGTGTTTCTTTTCCATGTGATATTTTTTGTTGATTGTGGGACAAGACCTGGGAGAGAGTTGTCAGCTTTGAAGTTTCTCATGACCTAAAGTAGCTCTTTAAGTTGGTTGAATATTATGAAACCAGCCATTTGTGCTGTTCAAAGCTGGACTCTTTTTCTGAAAGTTTCCCACCATTTCTAATGCAGCTTTACCAGTGTTAACAAGAAGAGTAACACTAAGATAAACAAGGTGCTAGTAATTGCTTGGATTTTAATTAAAATTTCTCTGAAAAGTTTAAACACCATAGTGATTAAAATAGCAGCAGCTCCTCTAATCAGTATGCTACCATTGGCAGAGCTGTATCAGTAGTAGGAATGGTAGTTAACACTTGGGTGGTTTTATAGGTGCCCACAGCTTGTCAAATTCCCAGTGGTATCTGCAGAAACATTATAATAATATAATATAAAACATTATCAGGTGTTGGTGGATGAAACAACTGTGGTTGTTGCCACGCCTTTAGTGATCAGTGAAAGCAGAGTCAGGTTGATGTCACAAGCAACCAGAATAAGTGATTATTTGCAGAAAAATTAATGCAGGAGTGGCCAACCTGAGGTACAGGTGCCACAAGTGGCATAGGCAGCTTCTGTTTGGCATGCAGGAGATTGGGGTGGGAACAGGCAGCACAGCAGCAGATAGGACGCGAAGCTGAACATGGAGGAGCCAATCAGACGGGGAGCAGAAAGCAGGGCAGCAGATAAGAGTGGCACTTGGGGAGGGTGTAGGGCTAATTTGTGGCATTTCTGCCAAAAAGGTTCACTACAATTGGGCTAACACATCTGTCTTCCTTCTTTGGTCTGTCCTCTGCAGCCAGTTGTAATGGGTCTCTTAATACAACGTGTGGTAACATTAGTCAGCAGTATGGTCTAAATTTTAACTGAACTAAAGCAAAAGTAACATAGCACTCTTTGCTTAATAATTTTAAACCTTTAGTGGTTTGTTCTTTTCTTAAATATTGATTTATTTGTGCTTCTTGGCCTCTGGTAGTTTTGGACAACAGCAGGAAATAAAGTACAAAAATAGCATTGAGTACAGTGCTGAATGTATCACTTTCCCAGGAGGCGGTCCATGATAAGAAGTGTTGTTTTTCCAGAATGTGTTAAACCATTTTTAATTGCATCTTAAGGAGCAAAAAACAAAAACAAAGCAGCCAAACACCTCCAAAGTTCTTGTTGAGCAATGTTTAATGAAAGCACATATAGTCTAAGGACTGTATCGTACACAGTTTCAGAGACGTGACATCTGTGAGGTCAATATCTTGAAAAGGCACCTACCATAGGAAGGCTGAAAATTTGAGAACTATTTTATTTAAGCTTTGCTTGTCCAGTGGTATTTTTGTAGATATTATCTTTTGAAATATATAGGTTTCCCTTGCTTTATGCGGGTTCTGTATGTGCGAATTTGCTCTTATGCGATGACCCTTTTTATACTAAAAATTCGTTATATGCGAGGTAAATTCACCCTTATGCGATCTGTGTGGTGGAAGCCTGCAGTCAGCTGCTTTGTGTGGTGCATTGTGGGAGTGACGTGCACCAAACTAGTCTGCTGTGTGGATCCATGCTCCTTGCTCATCTGCAACATGTTTCTGTAGTTGCCCACCCCCATTATGATAGTGCCCTATGCTTGTGTGTACTGTCTGCTGTTGGTGAGTACCAAAATTATCTTGTAAAAGTGGTAGAATTGCACCTGGGGGCCAGTACAGTTGGGGTCTTGGAAAGTATACCTGTTGTTACGTTGTAAAGTGGGTTCCCATTATATGAATTTGAGTTGTGCACCCTTTTTCAGCAACGCATGTACAGTATAAAGCAAGGGAAACCTGTATAAAGCAAAGATAGTTCTGGATCTCTGTCTTCCCTTGGGAAGTGACAGTTGTCTTTGAGAGAAAAGAGTGCATTTCATACTACTTCTGCAATGATCACACTTTAGAAAGGAGAGCTTTCTAAAGCCAGAAATGGAAAAGAGAAGACACAGAAGTTCATTGTCATCTTGTCTTGAAAAGCTAATTTATTAGGATATGACAGTGAGTGGTGCTGTTGAAAACCCATAGACAAGCACTCTGTATTGGTGACTATATGTTTATCATGATATCATGGAATCATAGAAAAACAGGGCTGGAAGTGACCTGAGGAGGTCATTTAGTCCTACTCAACATAGGATCATCCCTATCAAGACCATACTAGACAAGTGTTTATATAACCTGTTCCTAAAGCTCCTTGAATAATCCATCACATATTGCTACCAAGCATAATGGCCAAAACATCAAAAACAATCTTCAGCTTGCCACAGGTAAAAGGTGAATGAGGGTGATGTCAAGGTCCTGCCACTACAAGGACAGGAATTAGTTTGCTAAAATAAGCTCAAGAGCTATAAGGAAGAGGTATGTCTCCCACTACAGGGGAAGGCAAAAACCCCCACAGTCCATGTCAGTTGACAGGGCTCCCAGCCACGTGATCACATGGTGAGCAGGTGGGTGCACCCCTGTGGCTGGGAGCCCCCCAGCCACAGGGGAGCATCTGGCCACATGTTCAATTGATGGCATGATAAGAATAAGCTAGGAAGTTAATTACACATTTTTTGTGGAATAATTTTGTACCTTATTGCTCATTTTATCATGCCATTAATTGGTTGAACACATAGCTGGGTCACAACTTAAGGTGTGATTAACTGGTTACTCGCACCTTAAGAGTAATGTGTAGATGGGACCTATGAAGCAGTACATATATTTGTGTAAGTTAGAGTCCGTTATCAATCAACGTGTGAGAGACTCTGACATAGTGTGTATGCTGAGTCCATTCAGGAAAAGGTAATAGAATGTAGTGTGTAACATCCATCTATGTCAATCTTCTTGATGTATTTGCTACCCCTGCTTCGTCTGAGTAGGGGTAGGACAGATGTAAGCAGTATTAAGTGAATCTAAATTCTTTAGATTGACTTCTCAATTTGGTTATGTTCACAAAAATTAAAAAAGGAAAAAATAAAGAAAAATTAGTCATAATATGCTAATGTTGATTCAGTGCTGAACAGTCATTGCACTTTTAATAATATCAGTATTTAAATAACAGCTTGTAAAGGGGGATAATTAAAAAGTGGTGATGCTTAGGAAGACGTATGTGTTTGTCTGCACCATCCAAAGTACCATTTGGGTTACAGTTTGGTAAAAAGCACTCAATTCTCAGGTAGATTGTTGATCATCAATAATTTGAAATTTATTCTCTGAATTTATTTAATCATGATGATAAACTTTATAATAATATTGTGGTTGACTTTTTTTCCCCTCCCCTCCATCCATGGTAGTGGAAAAGCTAAAGCTTTAGTGCTTAAATTCTACCAGGTAGAATAGGCATTTTAGGGAACACTGAGTCTGGGACAAGAGCATCAGTCTTCATATTTTCATGACTCAGCTTTTGATTTTTTTCATAATGTTGCATCTTTTTAGAAGTAATTACTGTAGTAATTAGGTATATAATATATATGCTTGTCTCCAGTTGAGCCATTTAAAATAGTAATTTATATTGGATATCATGTGGCTAGGACAAGAAAAGAAAATGTTATATCTACTTTTGAGCACAGCAGCTACTTCTAAATGGCAATTTGCAAAGAAAAACATTGTTAACTTTGTGAGCACTGTTAATACACAGAGGTTCTCATAATAAACAACAGTAATAAACATGTGTACACTACTACATAATCACCTCTGGAATAAGAGGTACATTAATTGCTGAGCCTTACGCTGTGCATAGCTTACAGTATGCTAAAAAACTTAATTATGCTTTCAGTTGCCATTTACAGTTTACTTCTATCATGTGTATATCTGAAATTATTAAAGTTTAAAATCACGCATGGACTTTATAAACACTCTGTATCAGCAACTGGTTTCACTTGAACCAATATTATAGATATTATGTAATCACTTGGTGACTTTTTTGGCAATTTTTTTTTTCTTGGTGAGGCTTCATTAATGCCTCCCTATGCTAGTTGAGATCAGGTTAAAGGGAGGCATTTTTTTGTTCACCTCTGTTTGGTCAGCTGGCAGAGATCCACAAACAAATCAGAAGAGGAAACAATGGCAGTAGCTACACCTGAATCATAAACATGAGGAGCATTTACTGATTCCATCCAATTAATTGCTTTTTGGTGGGGAATTTCAGGCTTGCACTTGTCTCTGGAGTTGTAGGAATTGGAGAATGCCATAATCAGTCTTCTTGCAGAGAATTTCAGAAATCATAGGAAGAGCCAGGGCTGCACTGCGTGCACAGTGGCACTGGGAGTGGGGCTATGGCGAAATTAGGAGTGGCTGCAGCCCCCACCCCGAGCCCAGCCCCTGCTGAGAAGAGTCTGGCATAGCCCTGGCTTCAGCCTGCAGCTGCAACCTGCCTGCCCTGCCCTGCCCTGTGCAGATCTGGGGGCACAGACCCCCCCC